TAAGTTCAGGCAAAAATTCTTTGCATGTATACATACTCCCTCTCCTTCTTTTTAAAATAAATATTTATATATTGATATCGTTATCAACAACAATTTCATACGAANTTACCTTGGAGTTGGTAGCATAAAATGTAATCACTAACGTTTCCAGAACTGGAATACCTTCAATTGTGGACATTTAGGCAATAGTATTCATCGCATTGAAATCTGCTTCATCTGCTTTATTTACAACTTTCACGTTTGAATCAGGATGTAGGCGAAGATTGTTGTATTTCCCACCTAGATATTCCAACGTTGGTGAGCTCTTTTCAATATGTTCTTGGAAATTCTCGAACATCTTGGNCGTTATCAACAACAATTTCATACGAAGGGGGACGACAGACGAGAAAGTACCGGAAAACTCAAGTTCAGACGTGTCAGGAAAATGTTTTTTAAAAATAAATATTTATATAGTGATATCATTATTAACAATGATTTCCCACGAANCCAGATCCGCCAGTTTGATAAGAGGAAGATTTTTCATTTGCGCCACAATGTTGATTTTGTTGAAATCCGTAATGATTTTTTGTTTTTACGTGGGTATGATAATTAAGCATAAATTCGAGTCTTCTGCAGATTGGAGCAGAGTATTCTGATGTCACTTCGGTACTGTATAACTTGTTTCACTTTTTGAATGTTTTTCAGGAGAAGGTCTAAACGTTTCTTTAATTCCCGTCGTTTGAAGCTATCCTTCATGGAGAGCAACAAGATGAACTGATGATATGTGTGGGAATTTTTTCGTTTATATACATAAATCCCCCACTCTTAAACCTTTCTTTTTTCAATAAATAATTTTTTACATTATCTCTCTATATAATAAAAAAATAAGGGCAAAATTTAAGACAATTCAGGCGACGCAAAAATTCAGGCGACGCCAAAATTCAAGCGACGCAAAAATTCAGGCGACGCCTAAACGTGGGAAGGTGGGTAGTCAGGGGGTGGTCAGGGGGTGCCCAAGGTCGGGGGGGTTAGAAGGGAGGAGGGTGTCCCAGGGTCAAACGCGGTGGGGGGGCTGACAGTTGGATTGGGGGGGAGCGAGCGAAGCGAGCAGGGGGCGAAGCCCCCTAGTTATTAACAACGTTTGTTTCTACGAGCAGTAACCATCAAAGGACTGATAATATTAAGTTCAGGCAAAAATTCTTTGCATGTATACATACTCCCTCTCCTTCTTTTTAAAATAAATATTTATATATTGATATCGTTATCAACAACAATTTCATACGAAGGGGGACGACAGACGAGAAAGTACCGGAAAACTCAAGTTCAGACGTGTCAGGAAAATGTTTTTTAAAAATAAATATTTATATAGTGATATCATTATTAACAATGATTTCCCACGAATGGGAGCGGCAAACAGGAAAGTACGGGAAAACTCAAGTTCAGACATGTGACAGGAAAATGTTTTTTAAAATAAATATTTACATATCGATATCGTTATCAACAACAATTCCATACGAACGGGGGCGGCAAACGAGAAAGTACCGAAAAACTCAAGTTCAGACATGTCAAGTGGAGCCAGGTATCAATGTTTGAAGAAGAAGGGAGCCGCTTCTATGATTGAGATAATTGTTCTATGCCATTTTCATAAAAATCGGTAGTTTATAAGATCAAAATTTAATTCACGGCTTGTACTTGAAACAATTTGACATTTGAGCACTATTTGAGGTTAGGGTTCTGAGCAGCTCCACAAGTTAGTAGTTCTCCACGGTCCCGCATTTTTGGCCATAGCGCTGACGGCGGTTTTGCGAGCGCAATTTATTGAGAATATTATTCTCGATCGATAGATGTTATTTTCATTCCCTGTTCGTAATTAGGGAGGGGGGGAAGTGAATCTTCCAATCAGGGGAGCACCTCCGGACTCACTCGACGCTGGAGAGCCATTCGGGATTTCTCCGCGCGTTCGAAAAATCATTCCTCCGCTCCTACTTGAGATTAAGGAATGAAACCGTCGTCATTTATTCAGAATTTAATTCTCGATCGATCGGCATCAACTTCAATCCTTCATCTCAATTAAAGTGGAAGAAATGAATTTTCCAATCGGGGGAGTCTCTCCGAGCTCACTCGACGTCAGAGAGCCGTTCGGGGTTTCTCCGCGCTTTTGAAAATTCATTCCTCCGCTCCTAACAGAGATTAAGAAATGAAACCGATGTCATTTATTAAAAATACAATTCTCGATCGGTAGGCTTCGGTTTCATTTCTTCATCTTAATTAGGGGAGGGGAGAAATGAATTTTCCAATCGGGCGAGCCCATCCGGGCTCACTCGACGCCGGAGAACTGTTCGAGGTTACTCCGCGCTTTTGAAAATTCACTCCTCCGCTCCTAACAGAGATTAAGAAATGAAACCGATGTCATCTATTAAAAATACAATTCTCGATCGGTAGGCTTTAGTTTCATTCCTTCATCTCAATAAGGGAGGGGAGCAATTAATTTTTGAATGACAAGAACTTGTCCGGAGTTACTGCGCGCTTTGAAAATTCATTTCTCCTCTCCTAATAGAGATTAGGGAATGAACCCGCTGTCATTTATTGAGAATATAATTCTCGATCGACAGCTGTTGCCTTCATTCCTTCTTCACAATTAGGGGGGGAGGGCGAGAAATGAATCTTCCATACAGGGGAGACCCTCCGGGCTCACTCGACGTCGGAGAGCCGTTCGGGGGTTCTCCGCGCTTTTGAAAATTCATTCCTCCGCTCCTACTTAAGATTAAGGAATAAAACCGTTGTCATTTATTGAGAATTTAATTCTCGATCGATCGGCATCGACTTCAATCCTTCATCTCAATTAGGGTGGGAGAAATAAATTTTCCAATCGGGGGAGTCTCTCCGAGCTCACTCGACGTCGGAGAGCCGTTCGGGGTTTCTCCGCGCTTTTAAAAATTCATTCCTCCGCTCCTAACAGAGATTAAGAAATGAAACCGATGTCATTTATTAAAAATACAATTTTCGATCGATCGGAATCGGTGTCATTCTTTCATCTCAATTAGGGGGGGGGGGAGAAATGAATTTTCCAATCGGGGGAGCCCCTCCGGGCTCACTCAACGCCCGAGAACCGTTCGGGGTTACTTCGCGCTTTTGAAAATTCATTCCTCCGCTCCTAGCCGAGATTAAGAAATGAAACCGATGTCATTTATTAACAATACAATTCTCGATCGGTAGGCTTTGGTTTCATTCCTTCATCTCAATTAGGGAAGGGAGAAATTAATTCTTGAATGAGAAGAACTTGTCCGGAGTTACTGCACGCTTTGAAAATTCATTCCTCCTCTCCTAATAGAGATTAAGCAATGAAACCGCTGTAATTTACTCAGAATATAATTCTCCATCGATAGATATTGCTTTCATTCTTTCATCGTAATTAGGAGGGTAGAAATGAATTTTCCAATCGGAGGAGCCCCTCCGGAGAGCCGTTCGGGGTTACTCCGCGCTTTTGAAAATTCATTCCTCCGCTCCTACTTGAGTAGGATAGAATAGAATTTCCCGAAGATTCCAAAAAGCTTCATTGTTCTTCGTGCATGAAAAATGGGGATCTTCGGGAAACTCCTTGCGATCGCAAGACTTTTATCGATTCATTTTTCTCCGTGTGACGTCCGTATAGAAGACCAAAAAATCAATTTAACATTGGCGTGAATGGAGTGGAGAGAAAAACGTGAATATCTCGGAAATTAGATGCAACAAAATGGGCCGTTTTCACGTGGATGTACACATATAATTGGACTGAAATTTATAGAAATTTTTAATTTGCAATGATGACATTCCTTGAAATTTCCGTATTACGGCAACGCGATAAAAATTCCCAATAAGTGTTCCCGGAATTTCCGCGAAAATATTACTGAAACCTACAGACATCATTCCTGAATTCAAGACTTTCCTTTGATTTTCAGGATCATGTCACTGGAAATTTTTTACAAAATGACTTAATTTTAACATTGCCCGAGTCGAATATCTGGACCTTATTCCCCCCTATTACCTCCTCGAGTCGTATATCTACCTTATTCGCCCCTATTACCTCCTTGAGATATTTTTTCCTTCTTTCTTCATCCTATACAGCCTGAACAACTCCTTATATGAACCTGCGTCATCCTAAAGGCGTAAAAACCCTTCTCAACTGATACTTTTTTCCCCCTTCTCCTCCTGTCGAATGAAAAGGAATCATAAATCCCCTGAATTAACCCTGATAGCCAGGATGATCTGTTTGCTGGTTCTTTCCAGGGGGGATGGAGTGGAAAACATTTTAGGTGGTGCAGGCGATAAATAGGTTTAACACACCTTCTGTTTTCCTCCTGAACCCTCGGAATTTGGAAATAACTCACACGTTCAGGCGGAAACCAGGGGGGCTTTCTGAATGGAAATACACCCTAACTTCATTCTGGTCCTCCTACTCATGATGGGTGTTCAAGGGGGAATTCAGGTCCTAATATTCGACTCGGGTGTTTGCTCATTGCATTCCAGAAATGCAGCTGCCGAAAAAAGGCACATCGATTCCTAGGAACAACGTTTTTTTTTCTCAGTAAATACAGACAATAGAGAAATGTCAGAGTGCAGTGAATAAACTTCACTCGTCAATAACTCCATAATGGCAGAGTGAAATTCCCTGATTTTTTTTCACTCTCGATTAATTTTTTAAAGATTCAAATTGATACTTGATTCATTCACATTGTTCCATTCCATCGGGAGATATTGTCGATTGGAGACAATTTTTTATGGTCACTGAAGGAGGCAAACCATTCATCTAAATCTCGCAATAATCTGCGAAAAATCTTATTCATTAATCTATTATTATTGAATTAATCCCATTATGTGTAGATCGCTGGAGAACAACGGGGGAATAAATATATATAATCGAACATTACTATAGTAAAAAAAAAAACAAAATCTGCACAATTATTCAATAGAATCACTGGAAAACTATAGAGTTTTCCAGCAACAGCGCTGGGAATTTCTATGATTTTTTTTACCTACGTGTNCCTCCGGTCTGACCTTGAAACGTCGACTCAAAAAGCGTTATTTCATACACAAACAATTAGAATTTTTAATCAGTTCTTACATTATTTCTTTCTTATTCAATGGAAGGTGGAGAAACCCAAAAAATAATAAAAGAGGGAAAAGCAGAGATTCTAGTGCTGGAGAAAAACGTATTCTACAATCCTGTACAGGAGTTCAATAGAGATCTCAGGTTTAATAACCTCTTTCAAAAATGCGCTTCTTGCGAAAACAAATGTAAAAGTACAAAAAACTTATTTTGTCGTATAGCGTAGCAGTTCTGAGTCTAATTGCAAAGGAGAAACATGAAAATTTCACAGCCATCAAAACAGAAACAGTGAAAATCAATCCGTCGGATCAGGCAGGGGTAAAGCATGAGGTAAATTAGTTAATAAAATGTCCATTTCCTGTTTCGAAACTCTGTCTAAGGCCGGATTACGGAAATGGCAGTTAAATTGGAAAGAAAACTATAAATATTCCTCAATTTTTAAAGTGACCGTTCAAAGGATAATTTCGTAATTATTTTTATCATTTTAAAATTTAACTGAAATTAATGATTGACTTCACAGCTTTCTGAGCTTTTGTGTGCTTTTAGATTTCTAATCGATGTTTTTTAGGTTAAAATTCACAAATATGATCCATGTTTTGGATATATCATATTCGTAATCGAATTACAGTATTGGCAATTTTTCAGACACTTTACAATTAGTTTTAAGTGAATATTGGAGAACTGCATTGTTATCTGTTTACTATCGATCAAATCCATGACTTCCTGTTTACATATTATGAAAACTATATTGAGCCCTTGCACGTCAAATTCGAAATGAAAAAAATCTCATGTTTCCGATTGGCTTGGCAAGGTTTTCTGAAGAGTACATAAAACCAAACTCCTAAAATTTTTAAAGCGATTCGATTTTTTTAGCGAGTTATAATTTTTCGAAAAAATCTCACTTTTTCCGCTTGAATTTTGATTGTTTGAGAAAAAGGTGCAATAATTGAATTTATTCATTAAGAATTGAATTTTCGTTTTCTCAAATTTGAAGGTAATTAAAAAAGCCTCAAAATGAGCGCAACTAAACTCAATTTATTCTATTTTTAGAACTATTATGGCAAAACCATTTTTTTTTCAATCTGTAATTACTCGAAAATTTTATTTTTTACGCTTCGCGGGAGGGAACTCTGACTTTGCGCCTACTCCGAGACGGGAAATCGCGTTCTAACCACGGGAAGTAAAATAAAGGACCCTCAGCCGCGTGCTTACCAACCTCGCCTTCGGCTCGGCTGGTAATTGCACCGGCGGCTGAGGATCCTTTATTTTCCCTCCCTAGGTTAGAAATATACTATTCCCTCTTAAATTGGATTCACTGGCACTGTCCTGAAAATTGCAAGTCAACTGTCCATGAAATTTCATTTTTTTCCAGCAGTGTATCATTGAGAACGGGGCCATTAATAATAGTTAATAAATAAAATGATAAATGATGATTAATAAATAACATAAAAATGATAATAATTCAATTCTATTGAAAAGTTTTTCGATCGAGCGTAAAAAATAACCCAAAAAATTATCGTAATAAAAATGACGGTTAATTTGCAACTATTTAGACGATTTCTGGTCATTTTGGCTCGTCTCTGACGCAGCTTAACTGTGACCGTCATTTTTGCATGCACAATTCAGTCAGAGTCAAAAAACGGTCAGAAACCGGTCATTTACGTCTAACCTAACCAAAAGGAATAATGACGCCTATTCCACACCTCTACTCGGAACATATAACCATCCCTTAAACGCTGCGGTAAGGGAGGGGACACTTCAGAACTCTGACTTATTTAATAATCAATGAATTTATGACGGATTGCATTTTTTATTCATTTTGGAATTATCAAACCGTTGATTTCTGACTTTTTCAACGTTGTCAAGAGTTTATCCTAAGAGTTTATCCCCCCCCCCCCCAATGGCGGTTGACATGGCGCCATTTGCCATGGTAAATAATACATTTCTTTTTTTGTTGGTTACTACATTTTTAATTTTCTCATTATTTGCATCATTCCTCAATAAAAACTAAAAACGCTGTTTCAAAACTTTAGGTTTTCTTTTACTTTTTTAAGCATACATCTGGATTTTTTGCGATTTTCGGTGTCACACAAAACTGAATGGAAATTTCTAGATAAAAAAATCTGAAAAAACAAGCTCAATAACATTCGAAAGATAACCCATCCGGTCCTTAATTCAATTATTTCACCTTTTTCTCAAATAATCAAAATTGAAGTGGAAAAATTGAAATTTTTTGGAAAATCATAACTGGTTGAAAAAAAATCAAGTCGCTCGCCAAATTTTGTGAGAGTTTGGACTCATATTTTTCTTCTCAGAAAAAAAATCTCCAAAACAATCGGAAAGATGAAATTTTTTTCATTGCGCATTTGACGTGGAATTGCTCTCTTCTAAGAAACACATTGTATCAGAAAGTATCCAGCTATTCAAATCATTCCCTTTTTCCAATATCACGAATTTTTGGAGGAGAGCGGTAGAGGAGTCTAGAATTCCGAACTCATTATAAAACAAATATCTATAACACTTATAGATTTATTCTCTGCTGAAAAAGATATTTTACGTCATTTACATTCAGATGTAAATTATATAAAATATTGTTCTTTGCAGGGAATGGAGAGGATCTCCGTGGTTTTGGTCAATATTAAATATGAAATTTTTTATTTTTATGTGGTTACCTGAAAAGCCAGTCGTTTTATGAATAAATAAATCTCGAAATAGTACATTGTGTTACTAGTGCGCAAAGTTTCACTTCTTCGCACGCATGTGCAACACATCCTATTTCTTGAAATACCCGCCGCTTTCCTTTTTTGGAGCTGTTGTGGGGATAAAGTGTTTGATTTCCTATGCGTTTCGCATAAAGTTCAATTTACTTTACCCACGACCTTTGAACTTTACGGGCGTCGTGCGAAAGACGAAAACATTTTATGCTCACTAAACGGCCCCGATAAGTAGACTTATAAAAACCTTTCCTTGGGTATGACATTTTTCATTGACAAGGTTTCTTGAGAAAATTTTGTAAACGAGATTTTGAGGACCCCGTTCAGCAGATATCTATCTGTGAAAAATATTGAAATCCATTGTTTTAAAACTCATTCCCTGTCTCTTTCTTATCGCTTTAGCACTAATTCCATTTTTGTTCAATTTTTTTAATGGATCCTTCCTTCAGAATGGAATCACAATTTTAGAAGCTCTTTCGGCCACTGGACTTCGCAGTATTAGGTACGCTAAGGAAGTTCCATATGTTCGTCAAATAATAGCCAATGACATATCTGCGAAAGCAGTCGAGAGTATTAAAAGAAATATCCAGCATAACAAAATTGAAGACCTGGTAACTCCGAGCCATGAAGATGCGACGATGGTCATGTATCAGAATCGGAAAACACGTTTCGATGCGGTGGATTTAGATCCCTATGGTTGTCCATCGATTTTCCTTGATGGAGCTGTCCAGTGTCTCGACAATGGAGGACTGCTGCTGGTCACAGCGACTGACATGGCGGTCTTAGCTGGGAATTCCCCAGAGACTTGTTTTGTTAAATATGGGGCAGTTTCCCTGAAATCTAAAGCGTGCCATGAAATTGTAAGTAAAAATTATCGAATAAAATAATCAATTTGATTTTTTTATTATTTTCAATTAGTAATTTGGTGTTCACATTCTATTAAAAATTTTTATTAATAGTGTATTTACCTTAGAATTAATTTATTTTCAAAGTTAGAGTAAAGATTGTCCTGTTATAATTGGAAAAAATTAAGTAAAAATGGCTCGATATCTCATTTTATAATGACACATTGACGAAATCATTTCATCCAGCAATAGAAATTTATTTCTCGGTGAACTTGCTTCTACATTTCCAGAGCACTCATCGATTGCCGCATGAATAGATCATTTTGATTAAGAAAGTCAATGTATTTTCGGGCACTTTTTTCATTTTATTTCTACGATTTACTGACTTATTTTTGCCTCGCAATAAAAGCTTTGCAATCGCAATTATGTAGAATGATCTAATCATTGGGGGGAGTTCATCCAAGGTCATGTGTAACATAGTCATCCTCTAGAACGACATGATTGTCATAATTGAAACCTGACTTACCTAGAAATGACTCGACTGAAGAAATACCTTATTGAAAAAATAAATACTTCTCTCAAGTAAATGAATACTTGGCAAAAATAATATGAATTCCCTGTTGACGAAACAATTGTCTACAGAAGTTGTTTCAATATTTTATGTGAGGCGACAACATTGAAAAAGTCAAATACTCACACTTTCACAATTCTAAAACGATTAGAAAATTCAATCTGTCTTAAATTCATTACTTATCAAATAAATCAGGATTTTTAAGTGTCCTCGCCCTCACCGTGACGATCAGGCAGATAGTTATATGTTCTGAAGTCGAATTGGCTTGGAATAGGTCATTTTTTCAACTATTACTAGTCATAATTTTTTTTCCTTTATCATTTACGTATTGTTCCCGGAAACGATTTTTTCGAAAAAAAAAATCATTCGTTTAACGAAGAGCGACTGCGAAGTAATTATTCTCCTTTGGTGAATACATCGGTCATTATATCCCCAAGTTACCTCTAAAATTTCAAATAAAAAGAAATAATGTTTTTGAGTAATTTCAGATTGAAAAAAAAATTAATTTTGCCCTAGCGACTCTAAAAATTGAATAAATTGAGATCAATTGCGTTCATTTTTAAGCTTTTCTAATTCCCTTCCAATGTGTGAAAACGATACTTCGATTCCTAATGATTAAATTCAATTATTTTGCCTTTTTCTCACACAATCAAAATTCAAGTGAAAAAAGTGAAATTTTTTGAAAAATCTTGACTCGTTGAAAAAAATCGTATCGCTCTGAAAATTTTATGATAGCTCGGTCTCATGTACTGCTTCTAAGAAAAAAAATCGACAAAACAATCGGAAACAGAACTTTTTTTTCATTTCGGAATTACCATGCAATTGTTCTATACCGAGTCGATTTTCGACATATTAAGGAATTTATTAAATTATTCCAATATGAATTAAATGAAGAATAACATGCCACGGCAAATTTATGGTAGGAAATTTCTTTGTATAGGGTAAGGTACCCAGTAGATGGACACTGCCCTATAGATGGACGAGCTACTTTTGGATATGAAATTACGCAAAAAAATACTGAAATGTGAATTGGGAATATTGTCTTTGGGCTTGTCGTCAGCGTGCTGGCCCTATAAACCAAAGCGTCCTAGTAGCGCAGGTTCGAGTCCCGGTGATGAAAGATTTTTTCATCGCCGGAAAACGAACCCAGTGCATGTGGAGTTAGATATAAGTTAGCTTAGAGGCAAGTGCGGGTAGGGAATTAGGCTAGGGTACCGCGTAGGTACTGGGACGGGTAGGTAAAAGACCACAACGGTCATACCATCTGGCACCACCTAATTAATTAATTACTGAAATGTGAATTGTTCCTTGAATTTTCACTAACTGTTGTGATTCTTAACCCCCGAGTGACGATTTTTTTCCGATCAATTTTTTTTTCAATTGCTAAAAAAATAAACGTCCATTTACTGGGCGGTTTTCTTAGGCGTCCATCTACTGGGGGCAGTTTACCCTAGACGACACGTTCCTCTTAAGGATAATCGGGCGAGCTGGGAGGGTTCGAAAAAAAGCAGCCATTTTTTTCATTTTTTTCAGGTATTCTGCAAATGATGGAAAAGGCGTGTACAAAGTTTCAGACTGCTGGGGAGCATGGTCAATTTATTATAAATTTTTGAAAAAGTGGTCATTTAACCCGTGATCTTATGGAAATCAAAAAAACTGTAAAATCCAAGAAAAAAATGCAGCCAAACTCATGAAACTTTAGACACATTTAGAACATGTGATCAATGATTTGTTGAGTGAAAAAGATTGTGGCCTAGGAGCATTGTTTATTAATAATAGCGAAAAAGGTACTGAAAAATAAAAATTTCTGCGCACGCAGCCCAAACGAGCAGCAACGTCCCAAGTACCGATCGGGTGGGGGTAGCGCGGTCAATTTAAACGTCTCTTGAGAGAGAGCGATGAAGCGTTGTGATTGGAGCTCCCTCGAGCCAGTGGTACCAGCTCCTGGTGAAAAAGGAAAAAAACTACTGACGATGTTGCCACTTTTTCGCATGGATCAATGTTTTTTCATTTATTAAAAAAAAAAACAATCTGAAAACCATTCAATGCGCGGAACAGATACAAATAAATTTGATTAGCTCCAAAAATAATTTTTAACCGGAGATACTCCCTAATATTGCCTGAATTTTGAATCCGAATGGGAAAAATTTTTTTGTTCAGCGATTGGTTTTCTGGAAAACAATAGAAACCCCTTCTGCTTACCTCCTACATTTCCTCCTCACCTGATTATCCGTAAAAATTCAATTCACTATGTTTTACCGTTTCACAACAAAGTTAATGACTTGAAACTTTTTCCTGGATTTCATTTTTTCTAGGCTCTAAGGATTCTTCTGCAACACATAGCAGCTCACGCAGGGCGTTATGGACGTTACATTGTCCCATTACTCGCTGTGAGCGTAGACTTTTATATTCGAGTATTCGTCCGGATTTACACTGGTCAAGTTAAATGTAAGGAAAATACTAGCAACTTGGGAATGGTCTATCAGTGCACTGGATGCGAAAGTATAATGATCCATCCACTCGGAATGAAAAAACTAAACGGTGGCTATAAATTACCCATGGGACCGCCTGTTGACCAATTATGCAAATTCTGTCAGTATAAGCATCATGTGAGTACTATGAAAGTAATGGTGAATATACAAAGAATACAATGTAGAATTAATCTGAAATTCCTGCAATTTCGAATCAACTAGAAATCTTCGCGCGCGCATCTTCGAGCTATGGGTTTCAGTTTCATGCATACATCCGCGCGCACACACACATACATACACACACAGACATGTCTTCCAAACCGTTTCAGGATGACTCAAAATGTCTTGAAACGTGGCAACACATCGAAATTCAACATTTCATTTTGGGGTTTATTACAATAATTTCTTTCCTTTGGGTCGAGAAGTTAAAAATCCGCAGATGGCTATATCTTTCATACAAAACTCTAAAATTTGTTAGTAAAATCGGGAATTTTCTAGAAAAATCTATAATTTTCTAAAATGCCGGCAGATGGTGCCGACCGTTAGGGGTATCTGCTAAGGTATGATAGAGGAAGGTATTCTCAAGTGTCCCGCGAGGTATTTTCTACGGGACACACCAGGCGTCACTGCAGTCAATTTTGGCCGTCCCCACTACCGCTTCTCTGCTCCCTTCTCCTTTACCCCGCGATACCCCTACCGTCCCCATTGTCACCAAACTCTCATGTATATTTCATAGATTCAATTCACATGTCCCCAAAATTATGAAGATCAACGTGGAAAACTCGAAAATTCGTATTATTGGACATCAAAGGGGCAGCGTATGAAAAAATTTAATAGAAGACCCAAGCGCTCCCTCTAAGAAATTCTATTAAATTTCTATCATAAATCTATAAGAATCCTATTAGAATTCTATTTGTTTTTTTTTTGCGCAAAAGATATCTAATAGGAAAATCAATAGTTTGATTTTTTTATGAATTTTTTGGGCGTAAAATTTCCAGGTTCATTCCGCTGTATGTTTATTTGTTTCTCATGATAAAATCCAAGAGAAAAAATTTAGAAAATTCATCCCCAAGAATACTTATAGAGAAAAAAATCAATTGATTTTTCGATTAAATATCTTCTATACAAATGGTGCAACAAACAAATGAAATTTATCAATAGAATTCTTATAGTATTTCAATAGGAATTCAATAGAATTTTCAAGAGAAATCGGTAGATTCTTCTGATGAATTTTGATAGCATCATATTAGGATGGAAGAGTTCTTGGATGGAGTATTTTCGTAACTGAAGAATTCAGCATTTGGAATTCTTCAAAGAAAATCTTCGGATAAATATAAAGAGTTAAATATTTGAGAAGAATTGAATGTATAGCAAGAGTAAGCAACATGAATAACAGAATTCCTTGTATTACACTGATTTTTGTCCCACGTGCGGCGCAAGAGACTTCAGCATATGGTACCAGGTAGTGGATCCTCCCTGGTCCCCACATAGCCTGTGATAAAAACTTACGCCAAACGAAAGTAATTGGGCAATACAATAATGGATTTTTTAGATTTTTTTTCTCGCTGTATATTGTGGAAGACTCACTAGTTTTTTGGAAGTATATTTAGTGAATGTGGCCCCGTTCTACATATAGAAATTGTTGATTTCGTTTTTATTGCCAATGCTATCATTTTGTATAATTTATTATATATTGAAATATATTCTCAATGTTTAGATGGGAATATCATGGAATTGAATGCTGAAAAAGAAGTAAAACATGAATATTTTTAAAAAATGGAAGACTAGACAATATGGCCATTATTTTAAATTGCATTTGAAAACTTTATATTTTTTAAATAAAGGCATGTGTTTACGAATTCTTGACATTCCAATATGTACTAGTCTGAGCATCCGACAGTTCGACGGCTCCGGGGACGGTAGGGGAAACGGAGGAGTAAGGGGATTCAAAAAGCACAGCGGGTCGAGTCTGGTAGTAGAGAAGGGGAACGGGTCGACTGAGATGCCACCTTGCTGGTCTGCTGCAACTATCGCGCGGGACACTTTGCATAACAATGCTTGAGAATACCTTCCTCTATCATACCTTAGTATCTGCGCGAATGACCCCCAACATCCCAGAAAACAATTTTTGCCAGTGCCATCTAAAATTTAACAGGACATCGGCAATTTCGACAAATTGTCGACGTACTGTTTGCTGGGATGAAATTAAAGATGTGAGGCGAACAGGCCAATTGCTGAACGGTTAAGGGAAATTCGAGTTTCGCGGTAAGACATAAAATAAAAGATTCACCTAAATGGGAATATGATAGCTTCCATAGCTTCAAGAATGTTTTAACTAGCAACAAAACAAAGAATAATAAAATTTACAAATAGTTGAATGCAACTGAAACCCTTGTTTTCTAGACGCCTGGGCCATATTTATTTTCTTTATTAAATGTCGATCAACAGAAAAAATAATTGATCACATGATTATCACTAGTGATATGATTGAAAGATTAAATTATTAGTATAATTTTCATTTTATTATTTAAGGAACATTTTATGGAAGTTGACATTGTTCAGAAACTAACCGCCGCCCAGAAATTGATCTGCTGACCCTGTTCACGTCAAATTCCGAAAGTTTCATCTGAATAACTTAAGAACCACAGACAATTTTGTTCAACATTCAAAATATCATTTTTCTAGGACTAGGCGAGGCGTGCTCTTCGAGCGCACTAGCTAGGCCACATGAAACTGATATTTACCATCACAGATTGAATTAAGTCAAGAATTTACTGATTTTGAGCGGATTTCATCGGCTTGGATTAAGTATTCAATGTTCTACGTTTTTTATTTTATTGTTTAAAGTGCTCAAATCTACAGGATTTATTTACACTATCCGTAATGTTCTATAAACTTGATCTAAGTATTTCCATTGCTTACAATCGTTATTTTCAGATTTTAAGTCTACTATTTACAATGAATTTGTGAAGTATTTTGAGAGTTTTTGGATTTGTCGTTTTCAATAAGGGGGAGATTGAATTTTTTACAGAAATTTTATATTGGTTCAGCTCTCTAAAGAGTGTCGTTCTTTCATTGTTCAGGGTAGGACAGTACCACAGGATGTGGTCAATGTCCTGACTTTCAAATCCGCATGGGCAGCTACCATCATCAATTATGTTTATTCGTTTTAGAGAGGCTTTCAAGTGGTAATGATTGGCTCTAACTAGGTTGACCCATGAAATCAGGCCTCTTGGATGTTTTGAACCCTTGAACCATGACTTGAAAGACGCTCTATCGAATTGGTTGACGTCTTCTACCCCCTTACCTTCAACTTCAGCCTGGTATCTAATTTCTCTAATCTTATTCTGTTTTTCATTATTTTTATAAATGGCTCTAAGGTCTGTGTATGGTACTAGGAAGTTGGTGTCATTATAATGTGATGCGTTTTTTTGCTAATTCGTCGACGTGCTCATTCCCCTGGATTCCCCTGTAAGCAGGAATCCAGTAATACGATATAGAACTATTATATTCATTATTATTTGGAAACTCTGCATATTTTGTCTTAATATCGAGTAGAAATGAATTTGTTTTAGTATCTAGTCTTGTCGATTCAAGGCTCTGGAGTAAGCTCAGAGTATCTGAGAGGATGAGGGAATTATGATCTTTATGTGAAATAGCTAAATCGAGAGCCATACTGAAGGCCACACATTCAGGCGTGTAGACAGAGCTGGCATGATGAAGCTGAACAGCTCGGCTATGCCGCAGATTAGGGCAATAGCAGCCAGCTCCAACGTGACCAGTGCTCGGATCCTTACTTCCGTCAGTGTAAATGCAGTATGCCTCTGGGTTCGCTTCGATTATATCTGCTTTTATAACATCGTTTGAATTTTCTGTCGATTGGGCTCTGAGGCCAATATCTCTATTAATTTTTATGGACAGTGTTGAGACATCGTAATCATTTTTGAAAACATCGAAGTGGTTTGTGTACATGATTTACTTTTCATTCAGTATTTCGTTGATATTTTTAGTTATAATTTTGTCACTTGGTTCCGACTTAATTTTTTAAATCGAAAACAGGAATTTGATAGTTCCTGTTATTAATGTCGATGAATTCAACATGGCCTTTGATACGAAAGATTTACAAAGAAAATCAGCTCTCTCTTTGATGTATGTAATCTTCGATTCTCCCATGATTACATTTGTGAGCGTGGAGCGGCGGTACCCTAACGCAAATCTAATTGCAGCGTTCTGAATGCTATCTAGTTTAGAATTATTAGCTTTGTTGTTAGTATAATATATAAACAGGCCGTAGTCCATGACCAATCTTACAAAATCTTTATACAATATAATGAGTGTTTCAGGGTCGGTTCCCCACCATGTGCGTCTGAGATGTTTAATAATGTTAAGTGACTGGAAACACTTTTCCTGAATTTTGCCTATGTGATCTTTAAAATTGAGTTTTTGGTCGAAATGAATACTCCAAAATCTAGCGGAGGAGCTAGATGTGATTTCATAAGTTCCTACTTTAATCCTCGTTCGGGCAGGGTCAGAACCCTTCTTACTAAATCTGACTAGAACTGTTTTTTCAGGGGCGAAGTCTAGACCTAGTTTTTCTCAAGTTGTTTGCTATTGATTCTACCAATGCTCTACTTGATACTGATTTTTTGTCAATGCTCCACTTGACACCACTTTTCATAAAACAATCTTTTTGCTTCCGAATGGAGCCATTGAAATTACTCAATTTTCCCATTTTCTAATTTTGCTTGAAAATAATGTAGAATGGTATGAAATGTAAAAGCGCAAAGTTTGACTACCATGTGTGTATGTGTGAAATTCACTCGGTAGTCAATTTTTAAAAAATCGAAGAAATAAAGTGCTAAAATAATCCAAAAATATTTCTTTTTTTTTTTCAGATTACAGGATTAACTTCGTCCCCAATTTCAAACCTATTGAAAAAACGGTTTAAAAAAATCACCGTTTATGTCTAAATCGTTGTTAAAAATATTTCGAAAACTATTCAACCGATTGCAATGATTTCTTTTTCAAAACATTCGCCTTGATATCTTCTATGTCAGTGAATGAGAATATATCGCGTGTTTGAAAGCAAAATGTCTTAAACGCCAAAAAGCTACTTTCTGAGTTTCTTAAACCGAAAAGAACGTACCTCCACTCAAGTTTTCCGCAATTCTCCATGAAAATGCTGGGGAGACTTATTATAATACTTATATTTTCATATTGATCATTTACCGCATATAGGGCCTTTTTTCTTTAATTTGTATGGTCTGAAATTGAAAATTATTACAATTATTGAAATTAGCCTTGTATTTGACCGATTTTCTAATTTTGATTGCAAATGGACTAAAATGTTATGAAATGTGAAGAAATGATATTTTTGGGGTCATGCCTGTGTTGTCATTGTCTGTGACAACTTGGGTTTTTGATGATTAATTTTTGGACAATTCCACATAAATGTGGTGAAATTTGTAGATAAAAATCTGAAATTTCGGCCCATTGTAACTAGGATTGATATGAGCTCACATTTGGTGCGCTGCTTCAGCCCGATCACCCCAGTAGTTTCTTCAATATCTCAAAAACTGCTGCACCGATTTCAATTTTTTTTCAGAATACTCGTCTCGATGGCCTCTAACTGGACCAATCAAAATATCTACACCTGTTTTTATATAAAATTTCCAAGTGATTGCCGTTTTTTCTTTTTTAAATTTTTTTCATTCTTGTGCGCACGATCTTTTAAGAGTAAATAAAAATAGCAACTGAAAATTTGTGAAATTTATGATTATAGCTGTTAGAATATTGAAGGTTGGTGTTTCGGATGGGCTCAATCGGCCGAGCAGTTTCAGAGATGTTTAACCTTTTGTATAAATCTATTTCATTAAAAGGTTGCATATCTTCCTGTAGACACTCTGTAGCATGTGGTTACGGTTATATGTCTGTTACAAGGACAGGAAATTGCTACGAATCCATTCGGAAACTTACTACCAATGAAATTGGTAGAAAAAAAACTAATAACGCAAAAAGTAACCCTCACATGCCTTTTTCGGATAGGCTCGAACCCCTGCTTGTTTCAATATACGACCTTTTACCTTTAATTTCTACTCCCAAAAATTAGAAATTGACCTAAAAGCAGTAAAAAGTCGTAATCACGGAATTTTTTACTTTTAACTTTTCCTTCTCCTGGGCAGTTTAAATGTGAGGTCGTTAATGTAATGAGTTATTTTCTTAATCCGAACCCCAAAAAATTTGATATGGAGGATGTTTTAACTTTTTTTTTCTACGAAGTTGCGCATCAGACAAAAATTTTGAAAGTACAATCTTTAAAAAATCTTGATAATTATGAAAATTATGATTTTAGGAAAATGTCTAGTTTTTTTACAATAACAATTTTCATGTCACATGATCATTAAAATTTTGGCTGCTTGAGAACTATCAAATTGCTCATTAACACATTTAAAGAACATGAAAAGAACTTCGAAAGAAGACGTCAAACCATGCATTCACATCAGTTTTACGGGATTTATGCACCGAAACGTGTTTTTTTAAAATCGTGATTATCTCAAAAACCTAATTTTTCAAACCTATTTTTGTCAGTTTACCAGCTCATGTTGATACTTTAAGTGACCGAACTACTGAAAATCACCGATAATTGCTGTTAATCTTTTAATTATACCACCAATTAGTGAATTCTTACTACAAAACTTCTGTGTCAAAAGATGAACTCCATAGATGTTCTTATTTTCATCGATTTTGTATCAATCATATCAAATTTCTATAAACATCATACGAGAAAACTCTGGAAAATTGAGAAGGGTGAAGTTGTGGAGAGTTCAAAAAACGATTTTTTATTTGTTAAAGTATTTTTATACAACTCCCGTGAAAGCTAGGTTTTTTGCTGCGCTTTTATTAATTTATTTTTCAACATAACTCGCGATTTATTAAGCTGGATTGAATTTCTCAGCCTCCCACCTTTTCATTGTTTCTCTAGCTTTATTGAAATGTAGGATAAATATATTTCTTTCGATTCTAGAATGATTAAAATAACGTTAATAAAGATTTGCATTTCAAAAATTGAATAACTCAATTTTCAACGAATCCACGACATTTTTCAAAATTTCTTTCTCCCTAGAAAACCTAACAATCCAATCACTCATCTTTAGGGAAATTAAAAACTAGGCAAAGCTCTTGAAATATTCAACCTCTGACTTTATTGTTCGCAATTTCACAATTTTTATTGAAGATTTAGTAAATGACGTTGATTGCGCTCCTGCACAATATAAAAAAAACAGGATCATTAGAAAATTTCTAATGATTGCAAAAAAAATGTGATGTTTGAATGACAAAGACTGGAAAATAAAATAGAATCAGAACTTTATCTATTGGCGAATTGCGCTCAACAGACATGTTTTTTGTGCAAGAATTGGTGGAAAAAGAAAAAATTCAGACAGAATTTGACAGTGTAAGTAATCAGAGGTAGACAAAAATGATTAAAGGTTGATCTGTTTGACATGAAATATCTCATACGATTCTTCCCATGCCATTTAATCTCAAATCTATGGATATCGAAAATTTGAATGGAGGGGTTTCATTTCATCCAGGATGATTATTTTACTTTGCATTTTATTGTGTCCGGGTTATACGTTCAATTTCGAAAAATGCCATCTTTTAGCACATGAATTTGACTAAAAATGCATTCATTCGCGGAATAATTGGATCATTAACAGCAATGTTCGGTCATTTTGAGTAGTTTATTCACTTAAAGTATTAATAACTGCAAAACTGCAGCGAAGGAGTGACTCTAATTGACGCGAAAATATTCGTTATTTTATCGATGATTTTTGGTCAAAATTTCCGATTAGAAAAAATTTGGTTTTTCAGATAATTACGGTTGAAAAAAAATCACGTTTCGACGCATAAAACCCGTAAAATTGAAGCGAGTTACGCCTCCTTTTGCAGTGTTTTTTTAGGTTTTGTGAGTGTGTTGAAGTGAAATTCGATAGCTTGAAAGAATTCAAGAATATTAATGATAATGTAAAAAATAGTATATTTTGTGTCGAGTGAACGATATTTTTCGTGTCACGGGACCTAAAAATTAATATATATACCTCGCCATGGAAAACATATCACCCTCCCCCGCGTAATTGCCATCCTCGCCTTCGGCTCGGAAGGCAATCTTGCCCGTGGGGGACGGTGATCTGTTTTCCAAGGCTCGGGCATGTAATGTACTATTTCCACAGTGATTTTTACTTTTACCAGTTTGGGGGGGGGGGCAATATCCCGGGCTGGGAAAAGTGAGAAGCAGTACGGAAAACAAATTATCGAAAAAGACTGGAAATTTTAAACAAAAAAATGCAGTCTTCCGAGTTTACCAATACTTTTAAATGATTTTTGGATACTTGTCTCATGCTCAACTCCTCCGAAGAAAAAAGATGAGAAAATCCCCGACATTTAATTTTGGGCTCCGAATTTGGTGTGGAACTGCTCACTTGAAAAGATACATATACATATCAAGGTAAAAGAAAAATCTGAAATTGAAGATATGTTCCCCTCTGGTGAGTCATTTTTTAAATTTTATAAAACCAAAAGGTCGTTCTTCCAGTGATGACTAAACTCGAGATGTTTTACTTTTTTGTGGGGTCAATTTGGTGGTTTTCCTAAAAGCAAAATGTCATATATACTGGTAGATACAACCTTTTGCCGAAGAAGGATATTTTTGACGTATACAATCTTATGCTTTTAGACCCGCGGTATCTAAAATGCCCGATAGCTCTGTTGTAAGAGTACCGGAACGTATATTTGGACGTATGACTTCAACTCTCACCTAGTTATTTCTTAATTTTTACCAGGATTCATTTCCTTTCAATTTCACTCCCGCATCAGCTGAACTATATGACCCGAATTCTTCTGATAAACTCCTCAAATTCATTTTCAATTTGGTTTTGGTAGACGGAATCAATTTATGATTAATTTTCTTTTTTCAGATAGGAGGACCCATTTGGTTGGGACCTCTGCATGACCAACCGTTCGTGAGAGAACTGATAGATAGCATAGAGACAATGAACCTGACAACATCGAAACGATTGATTGGAGTTCTTAATGTCGTTACAGAGGAATTAGATACTCCTCTTTATTACGTCCTCGATCGATTGGTGAGATTAAGATAATCATCCACTCTTCTCATAAATTTTCACGATCCAGATGCCAATTTTTTATCTATAAAATGAAGATTTTCTTGTGCATATTCACGCATAAAAATAAATTCTGCGTACTACAACATTCGAGCATGTTTCTAAAATACTATTTTGTCATTCCGGCCGTGAGGCAGCGCTTCACGGACGCTCCGCTCCGCTTCCGTGAATCTCTGCCTACGGCCGTCATGACAAAAAATACTGTTCGTCATACGGCCAAAAAAAACTTTTCTAGCTCATATGATTGCAGCCCTCGCCTTCAGCTCGGGCTGCAAACTCATATTCGCCAGAAAAGTTTTTTTCGGCCTAGTGACGAAATATACTGTTTCAACAATTGTGAATAAGTAAAGATACTTCGGCAGTGTTCATAGGTGGAGAAAAACTGTCAATCAGCTAAAGATACAAAATTTTCAGCATATGTTGTTGGATATCTTCAAAAATGATCATCAAAGTTTCAAGGAATTGCAATTTTGATGATTCCAGTAGCGAAGTGGTAAAACGGTACAAGTCAATTTTGACTATTGACCAATTTTCAATCAATATCTCGGAATCTCAAGGAGATAGCAAAATTTTTATTATAACCTTTTTTTGTAGAACCGATTGAGGGCTACAACAAATGTAATTACGATAATTTCGCTATCTCCCTTAGATTCGGAAATATTCCTCAAAAACTCAACTGGGAGATGAGTCGACTTAAACCGTTTTACCACTTCGCTACTGATTTGAAATATTTGACGATGCCTAGCTAAAAGAAAGCAAGTCCTTGAAATTGCGATAATGACTTTTTCCAACAACATGTCCAAATCTGTTTAGCACACTGGATTTTTTTCTTCCCTATAAAATACAGCCCTGGTACCTTAAACTGATTAAATAAAATACATTTTTGCAAAAATTTTTTCAATAATCAAGATAGATATAAGCAACTTGTCAGTAATTAATATAATTTGAATAATTACGGAATTTATTTACTATTTATCGCTGTGCAGATGTCGATAGTGAGATGTGACACCCCATCAATGGTAAAGTTTAGATCAGGATTACTGAATGCAGGTTACAATGTCTCCTTTTCTCACGCGCACAGATTATCAATAAAGACTGATGCACCCGCAGAAGTTATATGGGATGTGGTCAGAGCCTGGGAGAAAATACACCCAGCTAAGAGAGAAAAACTTGGTAAAGAAAGTCCAGCATTGGCGATTTTGACTACTGAATCTACGAAAGAAATTTCGTTCGATTTACATTCTGAGGCTAATCCGGAATCGAGAAGAATGCACATGCAAAGGTTTCAAGTCAATCCTACAGTTAATTGGGGGCCTGGTGCTAGATCAACAACGATGTATGCTTTTTTTTCATCAATTCTTTATTATATTAGAAAATAATAATGGTAGAAAACTGAAATGCCAAAGAATTAAGAAGTTATGAACCACTGGTTTCGCTTCATTTGATTCGAATTATTAATTCCTGATGTCGAGGAAAATTCGGTATTTCTTTGGACTGACGACGGAACGTATAAAACCAACATTTTTTCAACACCAGTGTTTGTTTCCGCGCAACCTTTATAAAATTCAGAGGTCATGCGTAAAGTACATTCTCGTGCATGAAAACTCGGAATTCACTTTACGCACGACCTTGAACTTTATGCACTTCGTGGACAAAAACAACCACTTTACTCTCACCACCGTTCCAAACAGTGAACTTAGCAAGTATCACAAAAAATAGGATGTGTTACGCGTGCGTGCGAAAAAGTGGTTCATTACGCACTAGTAGCACAATATACTATTGAGACAAAAATTAACTTGAAATTTACTTCACACACGACCTGGAACTTTACGCACTAGTTGCACAACATACTATTCTAATAACTATGAAAAATTAGTTACAGTAGCTTTGACAAAATAAAATGAACAAATTTCTTACTTATGCATATTATAAGACTTATTTTCAAACATGAAAAAGACAACTTTAACAGTTCGAAAAAAATTGCAAATTTTTTCGTACTTGCAATTTTGAATAAACATAATTTTTTAAATGGAATTTTCGAAGAGTTTGTCTTTAATTCCACAAAAGCAAATATAACCAAATGACCATTGAATTCGAATTACTCCGGCTTTATTAAGTTTTTTCCATTTTCAAGATTTGTTTTGGTTTATTTTGAATTGGGATTTCTACATAAAATTAGATTTTCTTTAGAAAAATATTATCCAATCAAATTGCATCAAATCTGCAACATCTTCATTGAATGTTCCAGAATTGATCTCAGTGAGAAAACATCAAAGCGGGCACGAAACCAGAATAAACACAAGAAAAAATTCGAGGAGACGTCTCCCTCCGGTTCTCCACCTCTAAAGCAACAAAAATCAAATGTATGACTCATCATAAATGGTAATATATTCATACAATATGAAACGAAAGAGTATAATGCTTGACTGATCTGATACAGACACCCTTTTTTATTATTTCTCAAGAATACGCAATATTGCCAAGGAAAAATCAGCCCATGGAAAAAATAGTGCGATTCTTGAATTAAGGCCCGGACGGATTATCTTCCGAATGTGATCTCGATTGTTTTTCCATCTTCATAATGTAAAATATATCACATTTCCATTAGATTTTACATCACGCAGGAGTCCCTAAAAATTATTATTGTACAATCAAACAAAATAGAAAAAAAACAGCACATTTTCAAGGTGCGCTTTTAATAAAGATTAAGAAATAAGTCCAATAGAGAGGAAAAAGTGAATGGATAATTTATCATGGTAACTAACGATCTGACAGGCATTGGCTACTGCGACAAATGACGACCTAACAGCCATTAGATACATCAAATTATTAATTTCCAATTTCCTCCCTATTGGGTTTATTTCCCAATATTATTCAAAAACGCTCCTTGAAAATTTTCAGTTTTTTTTCAACGTTTTTTTAATTGTACAATCATAATTTTTGGAGCTTCCAAGGCTATATAAAATTGTATAGCAATTGGAGATCATTTCAGATTATCAAAATAAAAAAAACCAAGATCACGGTCGAAAGATAATCCACCCGGACCTTAACGTCCAAAACTACTACTTATTTTTCTTCAATAACGAAATTAATGAAGTTCAAGATGTTTGTTGTTAAACATTCATATCGGAAACGAGTCATTCTTGTAGAAATTCTCAAATACCTTTTTCCAGTGCGAGTAACCGTATTTCTTCAATTTCTCCCAAAACCTGCCATCATCAGAATAATTCCTCGTAGGAAACAAGATTCCAAAAACCGAAAACCTACTCCTTATTTAACAACTTGCCTGCTATACTTGAAACTATCAATATCTTCTCAATAATATGAACTCAATCATGTTTATTATGTACAAACAAATACGTCAATTAAAACGCCATTCTAAAACCCTCCACGTAAGTGCCATCATCGCTGTATAACTTGGACTTAACTTCTTTGTTAATTACTCGTGCTCATTCATTCCTAAAACAAACTTTTCTAAGGCAAACGTTGTCTGTTGATAAATGCCCTTGAAACCATTCCATACAGAGATAATGTCGTGAGTATACAATTCTAATTTATTAACTCAGGGGCAAAGGGGTGCACCGCAATAAGTCAATTTATCATACCTGGTTGAATGTGGAATTATTCCAATAATAAGCGATTGTGGAAAAAACTCAAAGGCTCAAAAGTTATTTTCCATTTAATGGAGAAATTTTGAGCGGAATTTTCCGTTGCAAAAATCTGCATGGCGGTACAAAAAGGTTGGGGGTTTTCTTCAATTCCTTCCCGTTTTCTAAATAATGCAAAAGTAATAAAATTGTCCAGTAACTCATTACGGGTTGCCGCTGGCGAATTGTGAACAGACATACACATTTATTGAGATTTGCACCTATTACAGTATATTTACCTTATTCCCTTTTTCATTGATGATTCAAATACGTCAATTCTCACGTCACCCATTCCAAAACCTTCACCTGCACGATATCGGAAGTTTTCATCAGTTCTCTTAATAAGATTACGAAGCCCTATTACTCTGAACTACTCCTAAGTCCTCCCTATAAGAGCGTCGCCCACGTCGCGCACCCCAGTCTCGCCTCTAACAGCAAAACTGAATAACCGGGAATCTTAAGCCATCAAAATGGTCGTAAACTTCAAAGTTTTCAAGAAATGTTCTCCAAATGGAAAACTTTCTCTCTACCTTGGTAAACGTGAGTTCGTCGATTACTTATCTGGTACAGAGGCTATCGACGCAGTCCTGCGAGTGGACCAGGACTACATAGACTCAGGTCGAAAGGTCTTCGGCCAATTAATCTGCAGTTTTCGTTATGGACGCGAAGAGGACGAGGTGATGGGCCTGAATTTCCAAAAAGACCTCTGTCTGGCTTCGGAGCAGATCTACCCTCCTCAAAAAACCGACTGCAACAGGACTCGTTTGCAAGATCGTCTCTTGAAGAAATTAGGCTCCAGCGCTGTTCCGTTCACCTTCACCTTCCCCCAATCTTCTCCAGCAAGTGTCACTCTTCAACAAGGAAAGGAGGAAGGTGGTGATCCTTGTGGTGTTAGCTATTACGTCAAGATCTTCTGTGGCGAACATGATAGCGATTTCACTCATAAAAGGAGCACCATTTGTCTTGGCGTAAGGAAGATTCAATTTGCACCGACTAAAGAAGGCAGACAACCGTGCACTGTAGTCAGAAAGGACTTCTTACTGAGTCCTGGAGAGCTGGAGCTTGAGGTAACACTCGATAAGCAGATTTATAATCACGGGGAGCCAATTGCTGTTAATATTTGTGTCAGAAATAACAGTAATAAAATGGTAAAAAAGATAAAAGCTTTGGTGCAACAGGGGATAGACGTCGTTATCTTCCAGAATGGACAGTTCAGGACAGTTATTGATGCTGTTGAGACGCAGGATGGTTGTCCTATCAGTCCAGGGTCCACGTTGCAAAAGGTAATATACCTCAGACCTGATCTAGAGTGTAACAGAGAGAGACGGGGGATTGCACTTGATGGAAAACTAAAGAGGGAGGAGGATCAACTCGCTTCGAGTACCTTGTTAACCACTCCTGACGTCAGGGATTCGTTTGGAATTGTTGTTTCTTATGCTGTAAAAGTTAAGTTATATCTTGGTGCACTTGGGGGAGAACTCACAGCCGAGCTACCTTTCATTCTCATGAGACCTAAGCTCTCGGAGAAGATCAAACTGGTGCCAACTGAGAGCGTTATGATCGAGGATGTTCCAGAGGACAAGATCAAGGAGTAGTCAGAGCTGGACAGATTTTGAGTGAGAAATTTAGAGGGGAAGTGGTAAAATGATGGAAGGTGGCTTGACAGGTTTGAAAATGTTGAGATTTTCTTAGATGTGATCAGAATGAGAAACCCTCATAGAAACTCTTTTCCAAAATGGTCTATTGCCGTCCTTCGAAATTGATAATGACAGAAATAATTGAAGAATTAATGAGTGATACATTAACATCAGCCTTTTACCACTTTTCTACTATCGTTTTGATTCGCCCAAAGGAAAAAACTAAACCGATTCTTGTTCAATTTCCTATTTCAATTTTTCCAATGAAAAATTTTGGATTGAGAACTCTTCGTTATTTTTCTTCCCGAAATATTCATTATTGATCACTAAATGTTTTATGGCTCTTCAACTTGAACTATAATTTTTAAATTGTTTAAATTCTGGTCAAACCCAAATAAATTGGTTTCTTCGCTTCATCTTTTTGAATAATTTTTAATAGATTCTCCATGATTTCTGTTAAATTATTGTTCAAGTAAGAATCGAAAAAAGTGTCGCTCCGGAAGGATTTTCCGTGGATTACGATGGCAAGTTTTATCCGACTCACCTAGCAACGAATGTTGTTGGACGAACGAGCGTAGTAAAGTCAACCATATCGTAGGAATTTGTCTGATTCGAAAACATCACCGGAGTGTACTACACAAAATGCCAAAATATCCCAATATATATAATAAATATATATGAATAAAGTAATCAACTAACTAGTTTGTAACTGAGAGGATACGACACACTTTCGATTGTATTTGTACTTCGCTTTAACGATCCAAAAATCTATTATACTCCATTATGAATTATTGATATTTCACTTATATATTAGCGAAAGATTACTCAAGAAATAAGATGTTATAATTAATAATATTTCGAATACATTGGTATGAAACAGTATGTAATCAATACCATTTCTATAATAACAGCTACTCATGTATTCTTTGTTATGTAAACTCTAATATTTTGTCGTCTTGAAGAATGTTCCCAATAAATAGAAAACGACTGAAAGCTTGGAAAATCATGATGTCATACGGCAAATGATATTTGGATATTAGATTGTATATTTGGGATTTTAGATGAGTTGAAGACCACTGCGCATGTGCGGGCGGACAGCCAGGAGAAAAAAAGCACTGTCAAGCTGGTGCTGGGATAATCACGAATTTGCGAATTCCACAGACAAGTGGAACTGAGAATATTTCAGCGGAATTTCGCGGTGATTTAATTTCAGGTGCACATGATTTACGTAATATGTGAAACATTCAGCAGCTTTAATACTAGTTTTAAGGCTTTCGCGGTCATGATTAATGATATTATTGGCTTCCGGATGGATGCCGCATTTGGTTTCAGCATTGCGCCGACGTTTCGCAAACATTGCAGTCTGCATCTTCAGGGCTGTGAGCTCCGATGTCTGAGGGTAGTCCTCTTATGCCTTCCCCTGCGACGGTGGGGGTAGGGGCAGGGAGGGGGGAGGTCAGCCAATCATATGTTTTAAGTAATCAGCTGATCAAACCAAACGCGGCATCCATCCGGAAGCCAATAATGTTAGCTTTAATATTGTTCATTATTTCTTTCTCTTGTATTTCATACAACTAGACCACAGCAGCAGGAGGCTATCTGATTCTTTTATTTATTAGTGGAAATACTTCGAATACTTGCACTCTGATCGGCCAATGAGAGTGCGGTCTCCAGGGTCACGTAACATTTTTCATTAAAATGTGGGGAAAATTATCATCTTGTTCATTCAACCGTGGCCGGGTACCCCGCCTGTTCCAAAAATGTCGCAATTTTTGTTTTCTCTTTCTGCAAAACTTGGCATACTCGTTTGTTTGCGGGGAAGCTTTAAGGGAAACATTCTATCAATTTCGAAGGTTGACTGGTATTCATGGGATTTCTGGACTCTGGATTTCGCCAAGCAGAATAGAGTATTACAATATTTGACAGTTGTTTGATTGAAAAAATAATAATTCCAAACGCAGGAGGAAAAAGCTTCAAAATGGTCAGGTATTTCCCGATAGCTTCATTCCAAATAAATGAGAGTTTCAAAAATGTACATGAATATGATATCAGTGATTAAAATACAAGTAATTTAATCTTACTCCTGAGCATTCGTAACAGCTTCAAGGAAGAAAAAAAATCAATACCGGCATGCGATTGGCGCCGAGCTGGCTGCCAAACTGTTCATGACAATTATCAATAATAACAAAAACAAGATAATTAACTTTTTTTAGGATGATTTTTAGTATTAATTGTGCCCTACCTACCAAGCCCTAACGCAATCATCGCTGAAAAACCAATTTTGTTAACTTAAAATATTACCCTAACGTGGGCTCGAACCCACGAGCTCACGACTACAAATTCGACGCCCTAACCACTAGCCTACTACGCAATTCGTAAAATCTGTATTTCAAATCGTCCATAGTAATTCCACATCGGTTTGTTTTTGATTTGAACGTTTTATTATTCACTTGATAGAGATATTAAGTGATTCAACATAGTTTAATCGGTAAATTAATTCAATAATGAATAACAATAATCATAACTATTAATTATAATAATAATTATAACTGATGATTAATTTTGAATGACGATTTTTTTACGATTACACCCTTAAAATTTTCCTCTCAAAATTCCACCCTTACCATTCAACACTTACAATGTCACCTTTATGATTTTTTTGCCCCTTTCCATTATTACGATTTAACCTTTACAATTTTACTCGTCAGATATTACCCTTATTCTCATCAGCTTACCCTTCCGACTTAACTCTCACAATAACAGCAACGGCTGGAGGCCAATGACCAAGCTCCGGGCTACCGCTGGCTGGGGTTTAGTTATCGAGCTCCGACATGCCAATGTTGAGCCAAGGCTGGGCCAGATCTGCCAACCAAGGCTCGGTTACCCGCCCTTTCCCCGAGGGTCAAGCCCTGGTCCCCAGGCCTGGCCGAACCTCGGTCCAAGCTTGGCGCCCAGACCTGGCAGGCCCAAGCTTGTACCAGACTTGGCCCGTTTTTCTAACACTGGCATTTCCTACCTGGGAGAGGGGCGTCGCCCAAGTAGAGTGAGAGTAAGAGGTTACGGGACACACGGAGTACGAAAAATGTGCGGGAGTAGACTGTTTACTGCGCATTCACCAAGCGCAGAGGGATATACACGCATATCACTCACACAAGTTTGGGGTGCTCAGAGTAAGGGAACACTCCCCACTGTTGCTGATCGCTGGGAAGCTGGAGAGTAGAGAAGTTAGGGAGACTCTACTGTACCTCACTCTAATTGGTCAAAATCAGAATTGAGAAAATAATACCATGTACTTCCCCGAATGCAACGATTCTATTGGTCGAGATTCTGAAGGAGGAAATAGGCACTGTAATGCTGATTGGGATGTGCTTCGTAGCATCAAATACTGGGCTCTGATTGGCCGAAATCCGATGGCCAGAAATAATCCGCCATATACGACTCGTGCTCAAAATTGGTTGACTCTTTTCTTTAAGCTTCCTTGCATAAAAAGAGTGTCCTAAATTTTGCCGAAAAATTTGACACATTAAATAAATATAACTGGTAATTTTGGAGCGCTTGTGGTCAACTATTCAAAATTTTAATGACAGGATATTCAATTTTCTATTGTATAGGGTCATAAATATAATTTTGATATAAAAGAAGTAAATTCAAGATTTCAATTCAAAATTCTCTATGAAATAAAAAAGCACTAGAAAAAGCACGCAGATCAGAACATAAAAGATTAAATAGATGCTCGACCGTGAGTTGAAAAAGTCTGCACCAAGGACGTTGGTCCTGCTTCTCCGGTTTTTGTATTTCATAGAGAATTTTTCTCCAATCCTTATTCAATCTAAAAATATTTTTCTCGTAGACATCTGATTGGGCCATATGGCCATTCATTTCACATTTGACATTTCTGACTTGGATTTTTGCTTTCGAATGGAAGCCTTGTGATCGATCATTTTTACGATCTCATAATTTTGTTTGGAAATTATGTAGCATGTCATGAAACGTGACATATGATATGACGTGAAGATATGATGTTTTTAGAAAATGTGTGTATGTGTGTGCAGATTTTTCATATTTATCACACGCCAAAATGATCAATTCTTGTTTGTCAGATTTTCATACATAAATTCTAAACTCTACAAAATTCACGAAAATTCTTCGGTTTCCCAAATAATTCGAGAAAAATCTGTAATTTACGGTTATCTGGAAAACTGTGAAATTTTCAGAACAATTCAAGAAGTTTTCTAGAAAATCAATTCATAACCCTCCCCTGATTTTTCAACGATTACATATTTTAATCAGATTATTTTAAAAAGTAAAAGAAAGAATTAATCGATGATCAAAATTTATTCATCGATGCTTCACTCTTCATTCTCTTAATTCTCCTTAAGTCATTATCAATATTTATAAAACATCTATGAGTATATGAAGTTTAATAAATTCGATTTCTTCATTTTCATAACAAACAGATAAGCGCGCGCACAGTCTAGTATAATGAAAACGGGACGACAAATCGGAAAAGTGTCATTAGTTACATTATATAAATCATCTATGAGATTTTCAACGGCGTAACTATGGTATTTTTTGGATTAACAGTAAAAAAGATACGCGCATAGCAACGGGTCGATATTCACATTCTCGCGATTCACATTATAAAGTCGGAGATCGAGATACGCGGTAGCGTATCGGTCAAGAAAAGTGTTGACCGACGGAGCAAAACATCAGGCCGAGCGCATCACGTATCTATACACGACAGAACTTTCCCCTCCACTACCTCTAAATGATTTACATTCGGTATATTGAAAACGGGACGACAAATCGGGAAAGTGTCGTTAGTTACATTATATAAATTGTTTATGAGCTGTTCAACGGTGTAACTATGATATTTATATGATACGTGCGTGTAACCGCATGGATTTCAGTTGACTATAGTCAACTGGAAAGTAGCGGGTTTCGAGCGCCTACCCACATTCAACTGAAACTCGAAATAACGTGTGACGCGCATGCGCATCACCTATTAAAAGAGAATAACAAGGAAGGAAATCTAACCTCCGAATAGTGAATACATGGAATGACTGAAAAATAAAAAGGTGATTTTCGAAGCAGATAAAATGAGCCAAAATCATATAATTCCTGATAGTGATGAAGAGTTATTCAGTGAGGAGGATTTATTTACTGATGAGGAGGAGTTGATTGGTGATGTGACATTTGAAGAAAATGGAAATGAAATATTCTCCAATGAAGCAACAGCAGGATCGCCAAAAACTTCTTCTTCGATCAAATACTGTAACTTAAGGGCTTTATTGAATTCTAATGATCAAAATAATGTCAAGGAAACACAGAGAAAAATTATTTTTGCTTTTCAGAGACATGTCACAGAATTAACCGAAACTTCACTAAAATTTGGTGATTGATTTCTAGAAATTAGTGATAAGTCATTGAGAATTCAGTAACGAAAATGAAATTTTTCAATCACACTTTTTCATAATTACTTTTTTAAATAAATGTGATCTTTTTTCTTCCGCCCCCCCCACCCCTCCCCCGGGGGCTTTGCCACCCACACTCGCCTCCCCCCTCCACCCCCAAACTTCATCACGCACTTATGATATAAAATAGTATACGCAACACGTGCGGACAGCAGGGGGTATCACTCAGTAACCGCCTGCTTTTCGCACTGGTTGCGTAATGTACTATTTTTGGATTAAACAGTAAAAAAGATACGTGCATAGCAACGGGTTGATATTCACATTTTCGCAATTCACATTGTTACGTCGTTGACCGTTCCTAACTAGGTGGCGTTACGCACACCTGGCGGTCGATTTAAATAATAGTTTGATTAAATTAATTCCATTTCAAATTCGATTTTATTCTTTTATTTCTATACTCTATTGCGCATTTAGGGCACGTGTTTCCTAGTAAACAATAATGCACTATTCTGAATTTCGAATACAGAGACTGATTCATTCAAGAAAGTCAAATAAACATTTAGAATTAACTTTTAGAATAAACTCAGTCTAGAATAAATACTGGTTTCAAATTTAAGATAAATATTAGACGCACGTTGATTTCTCCGGCGTCGCCATAAACATCGTAAAATTCAAGTTTCAAGTTTTTTCCATTAACCTATTCCTGATGATTATTAATCATCGAATCAAGGATTAAGCAGATATTACATCGGATAATTATTGGACTTCGTTGGATGGCCCATCCGGGCTTCAATTGCGGACGTTCCTGCCAATCCTTTCGTCAATTTCGAAATTGGTGCTGTTTGCCCTAGTGACATCTGGGCGGACATAACAACCCAAGTAGCAAACCTTGTGAAAGACATCTGAAAGTATACCAAAAAGGCAGACTAATGTCCGTCCAAAAGGTATCTTGCAGTCATACGATAACTTTTAGTTAACTTCTAGGTAACTTCTAGATACAAGTTACCTTTTTGGACAGACATTAGACAGCCTTTTTGGTATACTTGCAGATACCCTCCAGAACTGTGCTGCTTGGGAAGTTATAACGTTGGGAGCGCTGATCCAACTGAGCCTCATATCCAACGTTGAAGTGTTGCCACCAGTGCATTTGAATGTGGGTTGTGATGTTGTTATGGAGAACCACAGAAAATATTCTTCTTCACGTTAAATCACTTAGTAGAATGAAACGGGAAATCAACTCGGTGTTCTATTTTGTTTTCTCTCGTTGAAAATTCGAATTTCATCCCGCCATATCTATATTCATATGCGGACCTCGAACACAATAGTATATTTCTAACCTAGGGAGGGAAAATAAAGGATCCTCAGCCGCCAGTGCAATTACCAGCCGAGCCGAAGGCGAGGTTGGTAAGCACGCGGCTGAGGGTCCTTTATTTTACTTCCCGTGGTTAGAACGCGATTTTCCGTCTCAGCGTAGGCGCAAAGTCAGAGTTCCCTCCCGCGAAGCGAAGGTAGTTTATGCACTGTTTGTGAGGTTATCGGTTTATGTTTGCAATGTGACAAAAGTGAGAGGTGTCGAAAATATTGTGTGATCAAGTATTAAATGTCCGTGAATAGTTAAATTCGAAAAGAAATTTTTTTTTCTCCGAGTGTAACAGAAAATGTTTTCATTCAGTGCAAAAAAATTTCCTAAATCAAGTGACAGTTAAATGCGAACAATTTTGTGATTATTTTGGAAAAATTAGTAGGAGACGGTGGGATTGAATGGACACTTTGAACCCTTTTCAAAATGTTGATGTTTTATTAAAGTGTTGATGAAATAGAATTTTTTAAAATTAAAGTACAGTCAGCCCCTTTGTAATTAGCTTAGACTGAGCTTAATCGATAAATTGGTTCCTTGGTTATAAATATTGAAACAAGAAGTCAGAAGAGTCCATTCCACCCAATGTTTCCCTAAGATTTTTGAAAACAAAAAAAAAACCAAAACATATTTTTTTTCAAGAAGAATCCTTTGTGAACATTTTGTTCGACTATTCCAAGAAATACAATCCACTAGGAATCATCAGAGCAAAAATTGAATGAGGAACCAAATCAAGTTAGAAAATTATTAATAGATGATCAAAAATTAAAATTCGGTGGAGGCAATAAATCTGGAGTAGAACTGTTTATTTCCCTTCAATTGTTGATTCAAAAAATGTTCTATCTTATGAAAAATGAATGAGTTAAATTGAATTGAAAAGAACAAAGTACACCGGATGTAAAAATAGTCCTTGCTTATTTTGAAAAAAATAATGAAATCTGCCTAAAAACACAAAAACAAATGTTTTTGTAAAAAAAACTGAGTCAAGAAAAAACTTTATTTGATTCCTACTGGAAGTCGAAATTTTTGAAAAATACATAGAAATAAAAAAGGAAGCCAAGTCAGGAATTTACAATAAATGGTGATAGTGCAATCAGGTTTTTATAAGAAAAATAGTTCTCAATGGAATAAGTATTCTAAAAAAATTCTCTATGAAATAAAAAATCAGTAGGAGCAGAACCAACGTTTTCGACGCGAAGTTTTTCAACTCACTGTCTGTATCAATCTAATCCTCCATCCTTTGATCCGCGCCAAGGACGTTGGTCCTGCTCCTAGTGATTTTTTATTTCATGGAGAATTTTTTTAGAATACTTATTCCATTGAGAACTATTTTTCTTATAGAAATCTGATTGTGCACTATCACCATTTATTCAAAATCCCTGACTTGGCTTCCTTTTTTAGTTCTATGTATTTTTCAAAAACTTCGACTTCCCAGTAGAAATTAAACAAAACTTTTTCTTGGCCCAGTTTTTTTACAAAAACATTTGTTTTTGTGTTTTTAATATACACACCTCGCCATGGACAACATATCACCCTCCCCCACATGCTTGCCATCCTCGCCTTGGGCTCGGAAGGCAATCTTGCACGTGGAGGACGGTGATCTGTTTTCCAAGGTTCGGGCATGTAATGTAGTATATGTCATTGGGCCCGAAAATCGCGATCTAACCGAACAAAGCGAGGTTAGAATCGCGGTTTATCGTTGACTCATTTGGTATGGAAGGTAATCAATTCGAATAACGCTGATTATTTTTAGTTTTGGATGGCGGGGAATATGTAAATCTATCTTGTGGTTTATACAGAAACTACACTCGAAGATCGTTAAAAAATCAAATTTGAGTCATAATTGAAGAATAGAATATTCAGTAGTAATACCACTAGTGCTTCAAAATTATCGAATATTTTCGGATAGCTTCGTTGCCTAGGAACGATTGTGTCAAATTTTTCTGCAGAATTTGACACACTCGTTCCTACGCAGGGAAGCTTGAAGAAAATATCCGATTAATTTTGAAGCACGAATGGTATTTGACGGATTATTCTTCCACTCGGATTTCGGCCAAGCAGAGTGCAGTGAACAGCATCCGGATACTTTTACATAGCCATACATTTACAACCCACTTTTTTGTTTATCTGTCACACAGAATATTAAACGTAAAATGCATTGAAAGATGAGAAACATTTGAAAAGCTACTAGTGAATTTCTGTCGGAAATTTTTTAGAAATTTCCGAAATAAAACTGACAGCCTCAAATACTCCGCTCTGATTGGCTGAAATCCGAGTGAGAAAAATAATCAGTGTTATTCACTCTCTCATAAAAGAAATTTGAAGATTGTTTGCGCATATAAGGTTTTCATGTGGCTTTATCATTATTTGTTGGAATTGTAAATGCTTGAAATTTTAATACGTGTTATCCCATTTCTATCAACATCTCAGTTTTCGCAATTTTCGTATCTACAACAATTTTCATTGAAATAATAATATTAGTCTCATCTTATCCTTAGCCTGTTCACTCCACCCACAATCCCAATTTCCATAACCCTCTCATTTTATGAACCCGATCACCACGATCTTCTACATACTCCTCAACAATGAACTTAACTCCAACAATTTCCCTCATTCGATAACTGAGCAGTCTATGAATAATCCTGTATAGAATCTTCTTGTCGAACTGCAAACCTTAGACTCTCGATTTCAAATCTCGAAAGAAAAATTATCCCCCCCCCCCCTTATCCCCGCACTCGGCCCGACGAATACAAAAGAAAATTCGGTTTCAGATTTGAAGAGGGCGGAAAAAAACGCAAAAATAGTATATTTCGTAACGAGTGCAAAAAAGTGTTTTTTGGCGAGTGGGAGGTTTATATCACGAGCCGAAGGTGAGTGATATAATCCCACGAGCTAAAAAACATTTTTTCGCGAGTTACGAACAATATTTTTCATCATAATGTGGCGGAAATTGGACTTTTAGGCACGCGGAGCGTGCCGAAAAGTTCAGTTTTCGTCACAGCGTGATGAAATAGTACATTACATGCCCGAGCCTTGGAAAACAGATCACCGTCCTCCACGTGCCCGGAAGGCAATCTTGCACGTGGGGGAGGGTGATATTTTTTCCATGGCGAGGTGTGTATATTAATTTTCGTGTCGAGGGACCCGAAAAACATTTTATTGGTCTAAAAAAATTAAATAGTTCTGCAACGTTTTTTCACACACTCTCCTTTCTTCTCTCACTCATACACTCTCATATCGAAGTATAATCATGATTTCTCTACTGGGTGTTCTTCGGTGCGCGCACTGATTATCCACGCAAACGCCGTCGACGCCCCACCGCTTTCATTTCCTTTCGCATGTGTGCTCCTTGCAGTTGCGTCGTTTTCGCCTTTACACCCGATACGTGACCCCATCGCAAGAACCGGCGAGTTGTGCCGGTGTGCCGTAGTCACTCCCGAGACACACGTTACGACGGATATCGTTGGTTGTCTCTACTACGTCTACTTGAAATCAAAACGGAGCAAGCGAGTGTTTTTTTGCCAGAGCAAAACAGGACCTGAACAAAGCCGGGTAAACAATTCAGGTAATTTTAATATCGTGGACTGGAAATTTTCATTCAGTTAGAGAGAGATAGAGCGAACGAAAGAAAGAAAGAGAGAGCGGTAGGTAAGGCGAAGTAGTTGTACCGCCCCCGCGTCTGAGTCGAGCAAATCTACTGAGGAGTGCGAGGCTCAGTATCACACGGGGTATTTTGCCGAGCGTGTCGCTTCTTCTCTCTCGTGTTCATCACTGTTCGTTCAATCCGTAAGCTGAAGCGTATTTTTTAAAGGAATCAAAAAACAAGGATTAATTGATTCACCGGATTATTATTTTCCAATCATTATTGAAGGTGTTTTTTGAGTGAATTGGAGTAGACAATTTGGAGAACAGTTGAAAACGATTCATTTTTGGTGAAGACGGTGAGTGAAATTTTTCTGTTCATTTTATGGTATTCGGGGCGGTTTGGAGTTGGTATACAGTTTTGGCCAACCCACGCTTTGCCACCCAGACGTCGGGAATCGATCTTGGTGAACTGAGAGACGGTGGGAGAGATTCGCACACGAGGCGATGGTGTCCTTTGAGAGATGATGATGTCGAGTCGGATGAGGTGATGAGGGGTTTTCAAGGGGAACTATTCGAGGGGTAACTTCAATCTGCTTTCAAGAATTCCGCGTGATGTTTTAGTCTGGGAAAATTGAATAATTGGAGTATTAAAGTTGAATAAGTTCAAAAGCAAAATTCTGTAGGAAAATTAGTTTGTTGTTCTTTTTTTTTTTCGATGAAAACGACGAAGACAGTCAAGAAGATCAATTATTGTAAGGACGATATTGACGATTTTGCAGAGAGATTCAATTATTAGTTTTGGAGTGCCGATGATCTCGTGCATAGTATTGTGAACAGAAAGTTCAGAAAAACTAGTTGACAAACCTTTGGTGGGGAAATTGGAAATCTTGAGAAAGATCTCTTGAAATTTTTTGTATGAAGCCACTCTGTACTGATTTATCAAAAAAATGTGTAGGTAAATTTTTTATTTTTATATTTAAAAGATTCGTATTGACTGCCCTGGAACATAAAATTCCCCAAGAAGAAAATAAGGTTTATATTTATTATCGACAATGGCTTTTGTATAAGGTATCCAGTAACTTATGGCCTGAAATTTATCAATCAAGTATCAGAATATAATAAAACGAAAAAATAATGATGAACAAATTTTTTTAAAGAAACTCTTTTATTTGAAAAATATCATTTCTGCACGAAAAACTATAAAATTATCGATTTTCTTCAAGACGAGTTCCTGAGATCCGATGGAGTGTAAGCGGATTTGTTCTTCACTAAATCTAGATGACGCCGGTGGATGATTCTGAAATTTTATGATTCAACTGTAACGTATGAAACATCAGATTTCAAATCAATTGAACTAAGATTTGTTTGTCATCTCGTCATAAAATAAAAGCGTTAGGCTCGATGTCCTAGTTCCATTCATGCTGCATTTTCTGGATTTTCTAGTATGAAAGAAGAGGTAGATGCTAAGTAATTGGACAGAATTTTTAGGGTCTCAAAAAGTTTCGATGCGATAAGATAATTAGAGTTTATTTAATTCTAGACTTGGATTTTGTTGTATTTTAGTAATGAATGAAAAGCCATTGCGATTCATTGTTTCGAACGATTTTTGCTCTGTACTTTGACAAGAATGAGAAGAATTTTATGAAAATTTAGAAAAAAATTGACACAGTAAAGAGGATTGCAGTCCATATACAATTGTTGTATTATAGTATTATAGAGATACACCCTATGGCAGCAGAAACAATAAGAGGAATATAGAATCGTTCTAGGTAATGCAGATAGAACGATTATAAATGTGAAGTGCTACGTGGAACGAAGAATAATTGAGTTGTATTTACCCAAATTATTGGATTTCAGTTTCGTATTTTCAAAATCAAAAGAAAGCATTCAAAATAATTTTTTTTAATATTTTGAATTTAGAACTTTAACCATTCAAAATAGGTAACTTTTTTTTTTTTTTTTATATTCCGGCCCTTTCTGCCCTCTGATTGGCTAATCGGCCCTACCCAACTCTATGCATGCGGCTGTGGATTCTACACTGCACCGCATTCGCACTCCTATAGAACATAGGGAGTAGCATTGGAAACCACAGAAAACCCATGCCGGTACAGGCGGTCACTCTATTAGCGACCTCCCGCTCGCCGGAGCCTCCGGTTGAAAAACTCGGTTCCACGGGGAATCGAACTCACAACCTTTCGCACACTAGGCTCGCACCTAGCCGCTTCGGCCACCGACGTCGGTAAAAAAAATAGGTAACTGGATAATATATGAGATAATATTGTCACAAAGAATATGCATTAAAATTTGAATTAAACCGCGGGAATACTGCGTTCGATTTTAAAACTTTCTGGATTCGTACGTTCCAGAAATTTGCCCTACACAAAACAGTATTTGCAGTTTGTGTAGCTGTTTTTATTTTTGTATTGATCAGAGGGGAATTTGTGAAAGGAAAATGTTAGGTGTGAGGAGACTGAGAGATATGGAGACTTGAAATAAACACTCACGTTACTCAAACTCAACTACTATATTTATTCAATACGATTAAAAAGATTCTAAGTTCACGAGAGTAGTCTACTTCCGATGAGGTATTTCTATCTTGAGATTTCGTTCGATACTGATTCACAAAAATGGTCTTTGGTGATAAGTTTGAAAAGTACTAGTTGAAAGGGATGAAAAGTGGTGGAGAGAAAGTAGAGGTTCAAATTTGCCAATGAGTGGAGAAAAATAGGATGGGAGGGACTATAGCCTGATTGGTGAAATGTGGTGGAAAATTCGGGAGGTCATTGATGACAAAGGTGATGATCGCACTGGACCACGTGGGCTACTCGGATGAGGAGCTATAAACATTTTAAAAGTATAAAATTGAGTTTTTATTGAGGGGATTAGGACATTCTTAGCATGATAGAGAAATTGGGAAATTTCCTTACAAATGTCAAAGAGAATTGAGGACTATTCCAATATAACGATTTAAGTGTTGAGTGAGTACAATTAAAAAGATTCTAGCAAAGATATTTGAGGAATATTCTTGAATGAATTTTATGATTTTACGATTGTCTAAAACGATGGGACTGAATTTATTACTAATTATACGAAATTTTACTAGGAACAATGTTTGAGTTGAGACGGAGAAATTCTAATGAGTGCATTGAAATGATTTAAATACAAATAATGGTAATTACGCGTGTTTTGACACGTAACAAAATTTTTTTTTCTTCAACTTCAACATTATTGGTGGATACAGAGAGGAGAAAAAATAAACTCTGTTTGGAATATTGTTTACCCGCGAATTTTGAACGTTTTAGATTTTGAGTTGACATTCTATGCAGTTTTAGAGAAACTCTCACGATTTCTTCCATATCAGATTGATACTTATTTAAATACACAGCACCGTATCGGCCCAGAATAAATTTTGACTGTGACTGTACAAAACTGGCCAAACGCTACTGTTCATCCATACGTGAAGGAACTACCTCCTCCACCCGAATGGAAATTCCGGTCAGGTCTTGATCAAGTTTAGATCAGGTTAGACCTGACCACTGATCAGGTATTGATCAAGTTGACGGATCCGGTCTTGATCAGACATGTTACGCCTCTGACCAATCCGGATTTGATTCCGACGAATGGATCCGAACTTGATCAAGGCAACTGTATGAAAACCGGATGACCTGTCTGTCAGTATCAATAACAATTATCAATGATAATTAATCCACAACAAAAGATAATTCAATTCTTTGACCGTAGGCCCCCTCTCTTAATGAATCTCTACTGTTATTACCTCTGAAAAAGCTTATTATTTTTTTACCGATGCTGGGGATCGAACCGGGGCCCCTATGATTACCAATCCTATGCCCTAACCACTACACGCTATTACTATTGCGTAAACTGTACATTGCCTATATGATTTGTATCGGCGTATTCGTTGAATTTACGATTATTCCCGATCTCCCGGATGTGCGTGTGTATTCTCAGAGATGAAATATGTTCAATTAAATTTTTATTTATTTCATAAATAAATAATAATAATGATAATAACAATAACACAAATAAATAAAATAAATAAAATAGACATTTGGCGATTTTTTTTTCTCAAGATCATTTACGTGTAAGTTTAATACTCCTCTAATACGTATTGACGGTATCATCATCCCTCCCTGCTGTACAGTTGAGAAGGCCTGGCTGTTAATTAAATTGATCAATTTAATTAAATTCATTAAATTAAATTAATATAATTCAATTTATTTTAATTATAGTATAATGATCCTTTTTAAAGATAGAAAATAATTATTGATAATGGTTGATGAAACTTAATTTGAATAGTATAATAATTGTTAATCCAATTATCCGAAAAACTTATTAAAATTAATGTCAGATGGACCAGATCAAAATCTGATCATTTTCTCTTCAATTGACCCCGTTCAAATGCTGATCAGACATCAAATCCGAATTTGCTCAAATTGGGGTCAGGCAGCCGACCTCAGGGTGAAATCCTGCTTACCTGATCAGAACTCGATCTGAATCATCCTGCAGTTTTTCGGATCCGATCTACTGGATCAAAACTTGGTCAGGTTCTCATCAGGCATCATCTGATCATGTCTACCTGATCAGAACTTGATCTGAACCCGCCTGTAGTTTTTCAGATCCGATCTGCTGGATCAGGACTTGGTCAGGTTCTCATCAGGAATCACCGGATCAGTCGAACCTTACAAAAACCTGATCAAGTTCTGATCGTGCTTCAGGTGGGCCGATTTATATAATCTTAGTTACATTATATAAATCGGCCGCAAGCTTCTCATTTTGAGTCCAGGCATTTGCAAATTGAATTTCATACATGAATGATAAATTCCACAGATTCAATTAGGTTTCGTGCATAAATGAATTCTCGAAAGTTATAGCGTTGAAATTCAGTAGAACTACCACCCAAAAAAAATCATCCTGAAACAAACCGGAAAATTGGTTTGAATTAAGTCGAACTGAACCATGCCGGGGATCGACTTATTTCATATCGAATCATCGGCGTGAATCAAGTCTGATTCGGAGTAATAGCAACCGGCACATCGGTCTGATTCAAGTAAATTTTCGGACTTGATTCAGGTCGATTTCGATTTGATTACAGTTGATTTTTTATCTTGATTCAAGTGGAATTCCGGTTTAATTCAAGTCGATTTTTTGCTTCATTCAAGTCGATTTTTCGTCTAAACTTAAGTCAATTCTTGGACTTGATTCAAGTTGAATCTCGATGGTTATGCACTGGTGGGTTACGTATGAGAAGGGTTCATATATCTTTCATCAATGAGGTGAGGTTTATATGCGAGTAGGGCTTATCAACGGGGACTTTCATGAACGGATGTGGGTTCTC